GCTTTTGGCTAACAGCTGGGTTGAAATGAAACTCAGCAGCTCTGCCCTGGTGGCACCATTACATATAAGCACTGAGTGATATGGATGTTGCTCCGGCAAAGTCAGTTGGAAATTGCTCCCTGTCCCCGCCATGCTCCCGGACACCCCAACAGCTCTGCCAGCCCCCACACCTTCTATTTACGCCCTTCCCAGACAGAGAAGAAGGACCAAGAAGGTTATTTTTAGGGTAAATGCTATATAAAGAACATATTATGTATGTGAAAATAATATTTATAATCCAGCATGCTAACTTAATGTTGGTCTGTGGATACAGTTATATATATCCAATCCTCCAGTGATCAATTCTTGTGAAAGGCAAGGATCCCACCACTCAAAATCCTGATCTTGGACACCTGGGTGGCTCAGTCAGTTAAGCATCTGCCTTCAGCTCAGGTCATGATCCCAGGGTCCTGATGTTGAGCCCCACATCGGGCTCCTTGCTCAGCGGGGAGTCTGCTTCTCCCGCTCCCACTCCCCCTGCTTGTGTTCTCTCTCTCTCTCTCTCTCTCTCTCTCTCTCGCTGACAAATAAATAAATAAATAAAATCTTTTTTAAAAAAGTCCTGATCTTGAGAAAAGGGACATTCTGGGATTCTGGACTGGGTGGCTGAGGCAGGTTACAAAATTCTATTCTGGTGAGCTTTAAAAATTAAGCAGGCACAGCTTCCTGATTATTTGGGCTGCTCTTCCAGAAGCGGCGATGATTTACATAGCTTTCAGGATCCCTTCCAGGCTAAGACCCTATAATGGTTATCTCCATTTTGCTAGTCTTTTCAGCGAACATACCTTCCCCTTGTTTTCCTCATTCCAAATGAAGAGTGGAGCTAGAGAAAGACCCAGATCCAGATTTTGTGGGACCCTGAGGCTTATACATATTTGAAGGACCCTCTCAAAGAAAAAGAATTTTATTTTTTTTTAATTTTATTTATTTGACAGAGACACAGTGAGAGGGAGCTTCAGTAACACCAGTGAATCTGTTCCCTTTTGGAGATCTCTTCAAACTCTAAAAAGCCCACCTGTTTCTCTCCTTCTTCCACATCTTTTTCCCTTCCCTTCCCTGCCCTTCCCTTCCCTTTTGTTTATTGGTTCCCCTCCTTTCCCCTGAGGCATCTGGGACCAGAGGGACCTGCAGGGCCACCTGAGGAGGTGGTAGTGGGGGGTGAAGAGGGACCACATACACAGGGAATCAGGAACTATGAAGATACATTGAGGGTAGTGGGAGCCGGGTTTCTCACTGTTGGGGAACAGAGTTAGATATGGGAAGGGCTGAGGCCAGAATAAACCCATGGTATGGAATGGAATGAGAGATATGGGTGCAAACTCATGTTTGTTTGCTTTTTTTAAGTAAGGTCTAGGCCCAAGGTGGGGCTTGAATTCATGACCCCAAGATCAAGAGTCACAGGCTCCACCAACTGAGCCAACTGACCAGGCACCCTGCAAACTCATGGTTTTTTAATATACATAGATAAATTTGGAAATAGATGTAAATGCATATGTATAAACATATGTGTGTATTTTAATACATACTGTTAATAAGCAAAAATTCAACTGAGTAAATATGAAGATCTAATTGGCTTTATTAAGTGATTCACAGAATCAGGCAGCATCCCATCCAGCAAGTAGAGGGGAACTCTGAGAAGCTGTATAAAATGGAAGGTTTTTATAGGAAAGACAGTGGGGCAAGAAGTTATTAGCAAAAGAAAAGATTGGTCCAGGCAAGGTCATCTCCCCTTATGGTGAAGGGTACGGGCTCTTATTAGGTGGATTACCTCATCTTTGGGGGATGGAGAGGGCCCATGTGGTAGATCATCTCATTGGCACTGATTGGAAAATTCCTGACTGACCAGTGAAGACTTACATTTCTGAGGGAAGTTGAAACTGCAGTTAGGTTAGGTATTAAGCCCTGGTTTGGTAACTTGGCCTAAGTGACACCATTTTGGGAGTGTGGATTTCTTTTTAACAATATAAATTATAGTTACATATGCACATATATAAATTATATTTATATTTATATACAGATATACAGAGAGAAGGTTATAGCAAATGTCCAGACTCCCAGAATTTCCCCTTTCCCAAGATCAGCACATCTAATCAACACATTTAATGCTCAGGTCAAGGTTTCTAAATATTCTCTACTAAAAGGAACCAAAGTTCTTTGGGAGAAGAGCTCATGTCCAGTATGAGACAAGGAAAGTACAAAATGAAGCTAGAATATTTAATTGTGTCAAAAAATAAGGAAGTTCTCAGGGGCGCCTGGGTGGCTCAGTCATTAAGCCTCTGCCTTCAGCTCAGGTCATGATCCCAGGGTCCTGGGATCGAGCCCCGCATTGGGCTCCCTGCTTGGCGGGAAGCCTGCTTCTCCCTCTCCCGCTCCCCCTGTTTGTGTTCCCTCTCACGCCGTCTCTCTCTCTCTGTCAAATAAATAAATATATAAAATACTTTGGGCGCCTGGGTGGCTCAGTTGGTTAAGCGACTGCCTTCGGCTCAGGTCATGATCCTGGAGTTCCAGGACCGAGTCCCGCATCGGACCGAGACTCCGCAGGGAGTCTGCTTCTCCCTCTGAGCCTCTCCTCTCTCATGCTCTCTCTATCTCTCATTCTCTCTCTCAAATAAATAAATAAAATCTTTAAAAAAAAAAGTAAGTTCTCAAAAAATTATAAGAACTTATCAGAGTCGGGGCACTTGGGTGGCTCAGTCGTTGGGCGTCTGCCTTCGGCTCAGGTCATGATCCCGGGGTCCTGGGAACAAGCCCCGCATCGAGCTCCTGGCTCAGCAGGAAGCCTCCTTCTCCCTCTCCCACTCCCCCTGCTTGTGTTCCCTCTCTCGCTGTGTCTCTCTCTGTCAAATAAATAAATAAAATCTTTAAAAAAAAGAATTTATCAGAGTCACAGGAGCCAGTTTAACAAAGTTCCCATGGCCAAATCTGGAACAGTGGGAGCATCTTAAAAGAAATAACCATAGCGTTCAAGTATAGTCCATTGAATAGAATCAGAATCCATGAACCCTAGTAAAAGATAGAGCTTACGTTAAAAAAAAAAGTTATAAAAAAAACTCGCACAAAGATCAATTGCAGACCACCTCCAGCAGGCCCTGATGCATGTGCCCCCGGATGTGATGCACTGAGAAGGACAAAGTGTCACTTCTGAGGCCTTCCTCCTGAAAAGGTATAAATTGGAGTCTCTTCACAAGGAATCATTACACAGACCTGAAATAAAACATACTCTACCAAATAATTTTTTGTACTTTTCAAAAAGGTCAAGGTCACAAAAGACAAGGAAAGACTGAAGAACTGTTCCACAGTGAGAGACACAAGAGAGAGTATAACTAACTGCAATATGTGATCCTGGGTTGGGTTCTGGGACAGAAAAGAAATATGCCTGGAAGCGCCAGGGCCAGATGGTAGTATCTTATCAATGTTAATTTCCTGCTTTGGGTGGTTATACTGTGATTACACAGGAGAATTACACCGTCTTTTGTAAATGTGCACTGCGGTGGTTACGAGTAATGGGTCATAATGGTATCTTAAGTCTCAATTGGTTAGAAAAAATAGGATCTATTATGCAGACACTGAAAGAGATACAGATATATATATATATATACAGAGAGAAGGGTATAGCAAATGTTGTAAAATGTCAATAATTGGGGAACCTAGACAAGGAGTATGTTAGAGTTCTTTGTACTATTCTTGCGACTTTTCTGAGGGTTTCACATTATTTCAAGATAAAAAGAAATATGTTCCATGGTTTTCCCTAAGGCTGGATCCCAAATTCTCACCTGCTGGGAAACAGGATGATTTGCATCTCCAACAACATTCCCTCAGTTTGAATTTTGAGAAGTCTCCCTGCCCTTCCCTGGGAGCTGTGCCAACTGATGAAAAGCTCCAGGACCCAGGAGGAGGGGGCTGGACCAGGGCATTCATCATGGGCCAGATAATGGGGACTTGTACAATAAGCCTGGCAATTCAGGGACTCTTCGTGTCCCTGGCCATTAGGATTTTCCAGACCAGACAATTCACCTGACAAAGAAGGAAAAAGCATTTAACCTTATTCCAATAAATAAATATAGACTACATAATTCAAATTACAAAATATGTCTTAACAGAAGGCTGTGCTTCAGATTTCCTTTAAATAAATAGCAAGGCCCCAGGTGCAGCATGATTTCATTTACAAAAATTCAATTAACACACAAGTTTTCCCAAAAAAACATATGCCAGGGTACCTTCTGGGAAGTCCTACAGGAGGAATAAGTGAAATCAGATTTAACGACTCAACTCCTGGCAGAAATATTACTTAGTTCCAAGGGGGCTACAACCTGTTTCCCAGATCTTCTTAACATCTGGTTCTGTTGATGTTTCTAGTTCTCTGCTAGGTCTTAGCCTATTGAACCAGGCATGAAGACAAGACTAGTAGCTGGTTTAGTTAGCCAAATCAGAGATCACACCAAGTCCGGGTCAGAGACCTTACACTCCTGGGAGACCCCTGTAGTCATGACAACTTGCTACAGAAGTCCATTCTGCTAAGTTCCATTTTCACCATTTATTAAATATAAGTCAGCTGAGTTGGGACCTATGTACTATCTCCTGGGATTGGCTAAGGCAATAAATCAAAGACTGTTCCATCTGGGTACCAGCCTGTGGTTGAGGACACGTAATCAGCAAGACTTTTTCCAGTGTCATGACCCAAACAGTGATAAACTACTAACGGAGAAGAGTGTTGGCTGCTGCCTTTGAGCTCAGGTGCAGGTGATGGATGATGGATGAGAAGACACTTGAATCCACCTACAACTTCTAAGGAATTCTTTGATCCTCCTTCTCTTCCTTTAGTCAAGTAAAGACGGGGCTAGTTTCTTGCCTTCCTTTTCCTGAAGACCAGGCTAGGAGCCAGAATTGGATCATATGAGGTCTTTTCTTTGGGGAGACTCTGCTGTGTTCCCTCCTGCTTCAGCAACCAGCTCAATATTATATCCATTCATTTAACATATCTTTTATTGAGTACTGACTAGGTTTGGGGCATGGAGTTAGGCTCTGGGTTCACAGTGTACAGGAAACAATCATTAGTACCTGCCCACATGGATCTTACACTCTGGTGGAGGGAAACCATAAACAGAGAAATAAATATATAATTACAAATTATGATAAGAGTCATGAAGGAAAAAAGCAAGGTGCCATGAGAGATATTAACAGGTTAGGGGTCTAGGAAACTTCTGAGACAGTGACATTAAAGGTGAAACCTGAAGGGTAAACAGGAGTCAGTTAGACAAAAGTGGAAAGAAAGACTATCCCAGGCAGAGAGAATGAGAAAAAGACTCTGATGCAGCATAGAGTTTGGGATATTTGAGAAACAAAGGACCAGTGTGGACAGAATCTGGTACACTAGAGGAGACCGGGGTAGAATGATGCTGGAAGGGATCCAGGTTAAAGAGGATGCTATATGCCCTGTTGAAACATTTGGGTTTTTCTAAGTGCACTGAGTTGTAAGCCATTAGTAACCTGATTTAATTTCTGAAAAGTCATTGCTCTGTGAAAAATGAAATGAAGAAGGCAAAGAGAAGAAAGGAGAGATCAGTTAAGAGGCTATTGTAACTCAGACAAGAAGTGATAGTGGCTTGAACTCAGCCAACAGCAATACAGATAGAGAGGCATGGAGGAGTCAAGATACATTTTGATGTAGGGAACAGGAGAGAGAGCAGTATCAAGAATTTCACTGAAAAATTCTACGTAGAGCAACTGGGTGGAATGGATGGAGATGCCATTTACCAAGATGAGAAAGATCAGGAAAAGGTTGAAAGGGAAGAGATTGAGAGTTCAGAATTGTACATAGTAGGTTTTGAGATTCCTGTGAACCTTCCAAATGAATAAATAAATTGGTAATCATCAGCAAATAAATGGTATTTAAAAGCAAAGGAGTGGATGAGACTACCTAGGAAAAGACTATAGAGTGAGAGAGAAAACAAGAGGAGAGAAGGAGAGACATGAACAGAGGAAAGGCAAAACTAAGCCCTGAGGAAATGCAACACAGAGATCTGATAGAGAAGAGCATCTGGAAAAGGCACCCTGGAAGCAATGGCCAGAGAGAAAGGAGGAAACCAAAAGAGTTGATGTCACTGAGGTTGAGAGAAAAGGATATTTCAAAAAGATGACTTTGGTAGACTGTTTAAGTGTTTCTGAGAGGTCAAGCAATGTGGAGGCCATTGATGACCTCCATGAGGTTAGTTCTGATGAAGAAATGGAGGTAGCAACTACACTGAAGTGGGTTCAAGCATTACTGATGGAAGGTGAGAACAGCTTGCAGAGGAGAGCAGAGGACTAGGGTAATAAACGGCTAGCTTCTCCCTTTGGCCTCCTTGCCAGGTCGGCTACAAACATATTCCATTTCTCCTCCCAGGTTTTCATGGCAGCCTTTTTATCAATATCCAACAAGGTGCTGAACCTGCAGGAGAAAAGGCAACCAGGTCAGGAGAAAGGGTTGGGGAACAGGTGAGGGGATCTCAGATGCTTGCAGGGCACATTACTCCCCAGTCCAAGAGCAATAATGAAACTGAGGCGAGGTGGAGAAAACACACAGAAACCTTCCAGGCTTCTGCCCCAAAACTCTAAGAGAGATAAACACAAGTTGTGGGGTGGAAGAAGGAGTTGGGGATCTGGGAAGTACACAGGATACTCACTTGATAGAGTTCATGGCCAGCTGTTTGAGTGTCCTCAGATCGGCCGCCATTCCCCCAATGCCCATGAAGGCCTCATAGAAATCATAGGATAAGCCTCTGGCACCAAAGACAGCTGGGTCATCAGAGCTGATCACCATGGGGTACCCAGTGGCCATCAGAACAGCGGCAGGATGGTTTCTCAAGTCAGACACCAGTTTCAGAACCTGCCAATAAGAGGCAAAGGAGAAAGACAAACTTTGACCCATAAAAAGAGTTGTCATAAGAGAGGCAAGACCATGAGCATAACCAGCTCCTTTTAAAAAAAAAAAAAAAAAAGATTTCATTTATTTATTTGACAGACAGAGACACAGCAAGAGAGGGAACACAAGCAGGGGGAGTGGGAGAGGGAGAAGCAGGCTTCCTGTGGAGCAGGGAGCCCAATATGGGACTCGATCCCAGGACCCTGAGATCATGATCTGAGCTGAAGGCAGACATTTAACGACTGAGCCACCCAGGTGCCCAACCAGCTCCTTTCTTATCCTCATCACCACTGAACATTAGGATGACTTCTGGATACAACACAGGAATAGAGCCAGTCCTGTGCTCTTCCTAATTTTCTCTAAGTTTCTTCACGACCACAAACATTTGGTCTCTCTCTTGGTCCAGCTCAGAGCAGCTCTCCTGAACACAGCAAGACAGGCAGGTGCACAAAGAACCCCAAGCATCTGTGGGAACAGCAGTATCCAATGGCCGCTCCCACTCCACTGGTCTTCCTCACTGTCCCTTTAGCTTTGTCTATTACTTTGCCCCAAACTCTACCCCACTGGAGACCCTCACTGCTGCCTCATTGTTATGAATGGGTTAGGCAAGGGGCCATTCCTGAATAATTACTAACGGGAACTTGACAGTGGAGGAATATAGAAAACAAGTGAACTAAAGAGCAAGAAATCATACAGGAGGGTGCCTGGGTGGCTCAGTAGTTAAGCATCTGCCTTCGGCTCAGGTCATGGTCCCAGGGTCCTGGGATCCAGCCCCGCATCGGGCTCCCTGCTGGGCGGGAAGCCTGCTTCTCCCCCTCCCACTCTCCTTGCTTGTGTTCCCTCTCTCGCTGTGTCTCTCTCTGTCAAATAAATAAAAAATCTTAAAAAAAAAAAAAGAAATTATACAGGAAAAAGTTTGGGAAATCAGAACAGAGGTTGAGGGTGCCTGGGTGGCTCAGTTGGTTAAGCAACTGCCTTCAGCTCAGGTCATGATCCTGGAGTCCCGGGATCGAGTCCCGCATCGGGCTCCCTGCTCGGCGAGGAGCCTGCTTCTCCTTCTAACCCTCTCCCCTCTCATGTACTCTCTCTCTCTCTCTCTTTCATTCTCACTCTCTCAAAATTAATAAATAAATCAATCTTTAAAAAAAAGCTTTAAAAAAAAAAAGAACAGAGGTTGAGATTGGAGGGTTGGTTGCATGGATCACGCATACCTGGTTGGAGATGGGACAGACTTCTATGGGGATGTTCTTCTTCCAGGAGTCAGCCCAGACTGCTGGGTGTTTGGTCAAAGCAAATCCATGGCCAATCCTGGTAGAGTTCAGTAGTAGAGCATCCAGAAGGTTTCTGTCTATGGAAGTACCCTGCCAGTCTGGGGAAAAAGGGATAGTCTTCAATCAGATGGATCTGGCCCATAGACCATCCTCAGATAAAGGCTCCAGATCAAAGAACATTCACACACAAACATTCACACACATACACATTTTCCTTGTAACAATGCTAACGAAAGGTATGGCAAGACTTTATTTTATGTATGTATGTATGTAACAGATGAAGAAGTTGAAACTTATACAGGCTTTATAAATTGAAGGAACATATTCAGTTAAGTAGTAAGACTGGGTTTCAAATCTTGGTCTATCTGACTCCACAGTCTATATTCTTTCTTTCCATTTTTTGTTTGTTTCCAGAGCTATTTTCTGGGAATTTTGTTTATTATTTTTACAATAGTGTGTTGCAAACTCTCTCAATATAATTACTTGTGTGTACTTACTCAATTTATATCTTCAACAATATCAATTGTAACACCAATTGCAAGATCACAATGACCAGCACAAAGTGGAGGCAGATACTGTTGGTTGCCTATTTACCAGCAACCCCCACTCTATCTTCCTTGCTGGCAGGATGTTCTTTGGAGTGTGAAAATAACAGGTCCTGACTCTCCCAGCTTCCTTTGCAGCTAGGATGGTCCTAATGCTGGCCTGTAAGGTTATTTGTGGGGAGCTCTTTGGCTTCCTTCCTGATAAAAGGAGATGCCCTGGAGGAAATATCTTGTCTTTTGCTTCACTGGATTGGTTATACCTGAATGTAATTTGACTACCTGACAACCAAATAAGGTGAAACCCTCGACTTGATGAGGACAGCAGAGGTCACTTACTATGTAAAATAATAGATGATCTTGGGGCACCTGGGTGGCTCAGTCACTTAAGCGTCTGCCTTCTGCTCAGGTTATGATCTAGGGGTCCTGGGACCGAGCCCCACATCGGGCTCCCTGCTCCGCAGGAAGCCTGCTTCTCCCTCTCCCATTCCCCCTGCTTGTGTTCCCTCTCTCGCTGTCTTTCTCTCTGTCAAATAAATAAATAAAATCTTAAAAAAAAAAAAACCTATTAAATGTGCATATTCCATTCCTGGCAGCCAAAAGCATCCTAACTGATCTACATGTAAAGCATGAAAATTCCCTTTTCTGCTAGGAATAAAACCCCAGAATTCCCACTGCTAGTTAGGGTATGTGTTTCAGGTGGATTTTCACTGGTTTCCAATCTAGAACTTTCTTTTCAAAGATCTCTTCCTATTTATTTAAGATTTTATTTATTTATTTGAGAGAGAGAGTGAGCATGAGCAGGGGGAGGAACAGAGGGAGAGAGAGAAGCGGACTCCCTGCCCACTGAGCAGGGAGCCCGAGGCAGGACTCGATCCTAGGACTCCAGGATCATGACCTGAGCCAAAGGCAGACACTTAACTGACTGAGCCATCCAGGCACCCCAGATCTCTTCCTTTTTATTTTATTTAAAGATTTTATTTATTAGAGAGAGAGAGAGAACACATGAGCAGGGGAAGTGGCAGGGGGAGAGCGAGAAGCAGGCTCCTGCTGAGCGGCGAGCCCAAAATGAGGCTTGATCCCAGGACCCTGGGATCATGACCCGAGCTGAAGGCAGACGCTTAACCAATTGAGCCACCCAGGCACCCCTCTTCCTTTTTAAAAATAAGAACATGACTCTTGGGTATTAAATACCCAGCTCCTGGCAAAATCCTCTCCTAGGGCCATACATCTGAGAATGTGGTTAGATCCTGTTACAGTGTTTCATACTGTTGAAATGATTTCACACAGGTAAGTATGATTTTCCCCACTAGACCACAAGGTCTTCAAGGTTAACAACCCCTACCCCCTTAATCCCATCCCCCAAAAACAATTCTTCAAATCTCCTAGAACAACTTTGATCTAAACTGGACCCAAAATGACTTGAAATGTCAGGAAAAAAGAGATTAATGTACATAGACCCTTCCTCTGAGAGATGGTTTGAACCTGGTTGTGAAATTCAAGCCCCCACTGCTCTTCACTGATCTCCTTGGTCTTCTAAGGATGACAGGTGTCTAAGGTACTCAGACACCTGGTGGGATGCAGCAGCAAGCTTTCTTCCTGGTATCTTCATTTTGACCTGAAATTGCAGCCATGATCTGGGACTCCTTTTGCTTAAGGTTTACACATTTTAAGGACTGTAATATGAGAAGGTCTGAGAGATGACCCATGAGCCTGTGGAGTGAGCTTTGGGGAACAAAGATGTGGCTAGGCTAATGGCATTTCAGAAACAATAGCTGCGGGTCTGCTTGAGCTGGGTGGGGTCTCCTCTTCAGCACCTGGTGACTGTGGACAGAGCCTCCTAGCTGTTAGAGCAGTCCTGGTTCTAGCCCCTCTTCTGCCACTTAACCCGTGTATGACTTTGGACAGGTGAATTAATCTCTTAAGTACAATTTGCTCATTATAAAATGGAGATCATCAGAAAGGGCTCAAATTCAAGCTCCACTAATGACTAGCTCCTTGCCCTTGGACTAACCACTCTATGTTTGGAGACTCAGGCTCTTCAACTATAAAATGGGAAGAAGGGCACCTGGGTGGCTCAGTTGGGTAAGCATCCAACTCTTGATTTCAGCCCAGGTCATGATCTCAGGGTCTTGAGATTGAGCCTGGTGTCCAGCTCCACATTCAGCGGGGAGTCAACTTGAGATTCTCTCTCCCTCTGCCCCTCCCGCCAAATAAATAAATAAATCTTTTAAATAAAATAAAGTAGGGATAAAAACACCTTCCTAGCAGGACTGGGGTGAGAATTAGAAATAACATATGTGGGGTGCCTGGATGGCTCAGCAGGTTAAGCGTCTGCCTTTGGCTCAGGTCATGATCCCAGGGTCCTGGGATGGAGCCCCACGTCAGGCTCCCTGCTCTGCAGGGGGTTTGCTTCTCCCTCTCCCTCTCCCTCTGCCTGCTGTTCTCCCTGCTTGTGCTCTCTCTCTGTCAAACAGATAAATAAAATCTTAAAAAAAAAAAAAGAAAAGAAAGAAATATGTAAAGTGCCAGATACTGTTATTATCATTGTTATTCCTTCTCCAAGGGTTGCCATCAGGATTAAGTGAAATAATGCCATAAAAGGACTATCAACAGTTTCAATACTGCCCCAGGATCCTATCAGTTCTCTTGAATGATGAGGAGGAACCCTCCTATCGATCACCTCCTCTGTCCTGCTTGTCTCCATATGGCTCACCTGTCTCTCCAGCATGGAAAAAGTAAGGCAGTTTAACGCCATGCAAGGTGGGAATCATCAAAGCCTCCCTGTAGTCATACAAGGAGTGGCCAGTGTCCTCACGCCCCACCTGCAGGACACAGAAGAGAGGATATGGAGCCATCTGCTTTGTCCATGCCTCAGCTGTCACTACAACAAAATTATGCTTTTCAAACTAAACCACACATACCCCCAGGGCTTTGCAGCTGTGTGCCAAGAGTAAGAGTGCCTTAGGATAAAAAGGTACCTCCTTCAGAATGCCTATTTTAATTGTTGGGGGTGGGGGGCAGACAATGACACATTTTTATTATAAGCCAAATATGGATATTCAATGTAGTAGAATGGAGTGCAGGCTTGAAAGAGAGTTGGAGCTTGTGAGTAGATCCCTTTGAACAACTGCCTATCCCCCTTCCAACCCCAATTTCCCTCGGGACTTGTCCATTACAGTCCTTGTAGGGACTGTTCTGGAAGCTCTATACTAGAGGCGCTCCTTCTCAGCCCCCTTTGTCAGTGCTGCACACAGACAGAAAAGGTGGGATGAGGGGGCCTTCTGCCCCTTTCAGGAGAGGCCAGACCCTTTGAGCAACCCCCAGGGATCCTAGGAGGGCATCCCAGGTGCAAACCAAATGAGTCTTTGAAATCTACTCCTTTGAGCTCTGGATGGTCTGAAAATAAGAGCTTAAGCACAGACTCAGGTAAAATGTACAGATTCTATAAAAGGGAGTCAGGAGTGCCTTTCAGCCAGTTAGTTCAAATTAATTTAGCTTCCTTAATGCGACTGATGAGCTGTCATCTGGGAAGTGTGCCCTGGCTGGCTTTGATTTGGTGGAGGGGGCAGGGGACAGTTTTGCCCAGGATTAGCCCCATCTCTGCTTCCAGGACACACAACCCCCATCCCCACCCCCCGCTGCCGTGTGCTACAGTTTTAAGAGCCAGCTGTGGGTGGGCATCGTGGGCTAGAAAGAGGGCGGAGGGCAGGGGAATGGGAGTAAGCCCACCATTACTGCCCAACCTCCTTGAATTCTCCTTATTCTGAACTCCCCCTTTCAGCCTTCTGGCCCTTTCTGCGCCCCTTTCTCTTATGACTGCTATCCTCCTGCAGGCCCCCAGAGAAGGCCACCGCTAAACCCTGGCCAGGCCCGCGCCTCTGCAGAGGGTTTCCGTGGGAGCCGCCAAGGCCTTCAGGAGGAGCTGCCTGGGGGACCCCGCTCTCAGACAGCTTCGTCGTGCACAGTCATTACCAGGTCAAACCCCGCCACCATCCTGGGGAACATGGCTCGAAGCATCATGGCTGTTTGGACGGATTTCACGATGAAGGACACATTTTTTATTCTGTGAGAGAGACAGAGAGAAGCAGGGGTGACAGCGTGACTTGGTGTCGGTGGTGCTGTGTACCCTGGAGTGGCTCCACCAGCACCTGGGGCCGGGCCAGGGTCCTCAGCAGCCCCTCCCCACTGCCCACGTGACCCTAGCCTGCCCAGGCTCTTGTGATCCCTACCAGTGGCTACATCTGCGAGCTGTTTCGCCCAAATCCAACCCTATTGAGGACTCTGGCTGGTTCCAGAAGGACCCACAGCGTCTGAAAACAAGTGAGGAAGGGAGACCCATGGGATACGCATCATTTATCTACATGTGGATGAAGCAAAGAGGCCTCGTCCAAAACTTGCCCTGCATCCCTGAGAAGGTGGCTCCCGGAAGTGGGTGCAGTACAGAGCCCGGCTCTCTGGTCACTGGGCACCTAGGGAATGCAGCAGATCACCCAGGTCGCTGTCAGGTAAGCTGGGCCTGGCAACGCTATGTGCTCTGCCCCCCATTCAATCAACAAGGCTCTGGGCACTCCAGAAACCATACAAGCGAGCTGTCTTCTCTCCGCACCCTCTCTGTTCAAGTCCAGGATAGGGATAAGGCAAACAGCATGACAACAGAAGCACCAAAGGGAAAAGTCTGCTACAACTCTGTGACAGGACAAAGGTCTTTGCACAGCAGCTGGCTCACTGTTCCTCAGTTCTGGGGGCCTAAATTTCTCCTGCCCCCTTCCCCCATACCACTCCCTCTCCTGCAGAGCTCCAAGGGAACACAGAGCACTGACCAACTGCAGCCCAGCCCACACACCCTCCTGCCACTGAGTCCCAGGGAGCCTCTCAGGGGAACCAGTGGGGCCCCAGCCTTCCAGCTCCATCGGCTGTGTAGAACACAGGGATGGACCCCTGCTCCTGTGGGGGGCCCCCCCAAGCCCTCACAAGGAGGGAAGGGGATTCAGGGGTGATGGGGCGGGGAGGAGTCTGACTGCCCTCCGGAGTCCAGCCTCTAGGGTAGGCTGAGCAAATGAAGGAGCTGCCCGCCGCCCTTCCCCCCGCCAAGCCCTGACTCAGTGTGATCCCCATCTGACTGCTGCCCCCGCATCTCCAGCCCTGTGGACGGGTCACAGGCCTTAGACTAGCTGCCCTTTGACAGGAGGAGAGAGCTGTCCTTTCATACAATCAGAAGGAAAATTAAGCCATAAAGTTTTCTGTGCTTGTTTGAGGGAAGAGTGGATCCTTGTTCACACTACCAGGTCCCACATACATGATCCTGTGGGGTGTCCACACACGGACTCTGAGATAGCTGTCACTCGGCCGGGTCACCAGTCAAGGCCTTGCACACAGCCATCCACAGCAGACATTAGGCAGAACCCCAGGGGCAAATTCAAACAAGGAAATGAGCCAGTTATCTGAACATACAGGCAAAAACATATCCATAACTGAGTCACCCAGGCCAACATGGGTCAGGGCCTAGAATTATCTGGAAATTTGCTACAGTTCTTCATTTTAGCTTAGTTGCAAAGATTGGAACTAGAAGTGATTTTAGAGGTAGATTTTGCACCCATGCGCGAAAGTACCCGCTGAGCCCATGGTTCTTTGGCCCCGGGGGTAGGTCTCTGATGCCAGCCTCTCAGCCTCCCTCTTCCTCCCTCTCTCTTCCCCTCCCTTCCTAGTGGCTCTGCCTGCATCCCACCCATTCTCCCAAGTCCTGCAGCTTCAGCCATATTCTCTCTCACCTGTGATCCGAATAAATGAGTTTGATTCCAATAAACCCGGGATGCTCTTTTGCAAACAAAGAAGCCACTTCTCTGTAAGTCCTCACTGACCACTCTTGACTATGGATGGTCCCATTCAGTTCATACACCTGAGAAGGAAGCATGGTCATGATCAGACATCAGAGTTGAGTGAAACTTCATTCCCATTGCCAATAATCTCTAAAACCATGTTGGACTTTGCAATTTCTTTGCCCAATGGCTTCAGCAGCCTCTGACACTTATCAGAAGTTCTAGTCCTATCTGGGATAATGCTCTTGAACACCACAAAGCTGGCTGTCTGCCTGTCTCATTCATTGCTGGGTCCCTGCACCTAGAACAGTGCCTGGCACATGGTAGACGCTCAATAGGTATTTGTGTAATGAGTGAAGAACAGTCAGCAGGGGAGAGGACCCACTTAAACGCCCCACTTTCCCACCCCTAGGTCGGATGTCCCCTGAGGTGGACATGGTTAGGGGCAGTGACAAGAGCCAGCAACGGACAGTGGCTAAGGCAAAGGAGAAGGAACGGGTATAAAGAAGTCCCCTCTTTGCAGGTTGGGCCACAACAAGCCCACCGTGAGAGGCCGGAGGGTTGGAGTGGGCACGTCCTCTGCAGTTCCCTCTGCCCTCTCCTGTCACTGGGTCAGCTCTCAGCCCTGCACAAAGTGGCAGTTCAGGCTCAGGACAGGATGTAGGAGTTTCCAAAGAGATTGTGGGGCAAGGGAGGATGGGAAGAAATGATATGCATAAGTTATTTCCATGAACATCATTTAAAAACCTGCCGTGTGCAAGGAACCAGGCTAGGCCCTGGAAGGGGTAGACAAATGCTAGTAAGACAAGATGCCTGCCCTTAAGGAGTTCCTGATTTAGTGGAGACAGGCTCTATTCATGTTTACGATATAAAGCAGGAAGAATTAAGTGCTAAACAGAGGTTTACAGGACCTCCAAGGAAAAGAGGGTTCCTTTTAACTGGATAGGGTCAGAGAAGCTTTCGGGGGCGGGGGGGGAATGGCACTGAACCTGGGCCCGAGGAGGCTGCTCTGCGCCGGCCCCCCTGGCTAAAGCATGGCTAGTCCTGTGTAGGGAGCAGCGGCCCCACACAGAGCCAGAGCTGCAGGGTCAGGGAGCGGAGGCTGAAGGGCAGAGAGGCAGAATGGGAGCCGTGAGCTCTGTCACCACCTGAAGGAGAGAAATCCTTTTCCCTCCCTCGGGTCAGCTCTTATATCCTGGAGCTGATTGGGTGCAGGAAGCTTCTCATTTCCCCGCCAGTCACTTGCGCGCTCTCACCGGCCCAGGGGGCCTCCCCTGTCCCTCCTAGCTGCACCCCGGAGGTGTTGCCTTGGGTCCCAGGGCAGCCTCCCCAGCACCCTCTTCTCCTCAGGCCCACAGAGCACCCTCGTGGCTCTTTCACCTCTTGGGGTCCTGTTCTGCAGCCTGGGTTGGGGGAAGTGGGATGAATGGGCAGCTCTTTCCAGCCCCTTCTCTTGGGCCCATTGGCCTTGGCTCTTCAGTTTCCTTTGCTGCTGCCCTATTGAAGTCTAGCCTCTCATGCGATCCCCCATAAGGCTGCCTCAACCAACGGGGCTCAGTACTGGCAGGTGAGTCTTCCCTGATTGCTTGGCCCAGGAGTGGACATGCTCAGGCTTACTGAACGTTAAAGCTGCCAGAACTTTCCAGAGGAGAGAATCTTAGAAACTGCTAAGCTCAGTATCTAGTATAGTCAGTTATTATTATTATTATTTTTAGTGAAGGGGATTAGAACATGCCACCCTAAAATATGCTACTTTTGCATAAGGATTATTTTGAGTGGAAGGCAATTAAGCAGCAAACACCAGACAGAGCTCTTTGCCCTCCTCCTATCTGCCTACAAGCAGGACATAAACTGTCCGTGAAGGTGCTCCCCGTTCCATCTTCCACACCAGGAGAACAAGGCTTATCACTGGAGACAGAAGGTCAGCAATGACACGGGTCTGCACAAGCAGACCTTAGTAACGTAACCCTTATCTTCTATGAGTTTCCCCCATATATTTCCCTCCCCACAATTTACTGCCCCAGAAACCTAAACCCCTTTTCCTTTGTATCATCATTTCTCCATAATTTATCACCACTGGTTAAAATAGTGTATAAGCACCTGGCCTACCCACTTCTCTGGGTCTTCACTTTTTTCTACAAAGGCCTCCATGCACCCAAAAATTAAATATTAACATCAAATACAATGTGTATGCCTTTTCTCCTGTTTTTTTTTTTTTTTTTTTTAGATTTTTACTTATTTATTTAACATAGAGAGAGAGCGCGCACAAGTAAGCAGAGGGAGAGGGAGAAGCAGGCTTCCCACTGAGCAGGGAGCCCGATGCGGGGCTCGATCCCAGGACCCCGGGATCGTGACCTGAGCGAAGGCAGTTGCTTAACCGACTGAGCCACCCAGGCGCCCCTGCCTTTTCTCCTGTTAATGTGGCTTTTGTCAGTTTAATTTGCAGGTCCCAAAACTGAACCTTAAGAGGGTAAAGGAAAGTTACTTTCATCCTCTCCTACTTTACCAAGGATTTTTTAAAGGAGAATTCCTGTCACTGATCAAGGGTTCAACAGACTTCCAGGCGCTCTGTTAGAATCTTCAGATCTTTGATGCCAAAAGAACCAATATCCTGTACCCCAGGAGTACTCAACATGTGGTAAGGAACCCCTATGGGTCCCCTAGACTTTTCCAGGCAGTCTGCAAAATCATAAACTCTCCTCATAAAAGTTTTAAGATGTTATTTGTCTTTTTCATTCTCATTCTCTCATGAGTATACAGAATTTTCCAGAAGTTGCATCATGTGTGACAAACACTGCTCTAACAAATAATGGATTGTGTGCTTGTGTAGTCTTGTGTTTTGAAATTTTCTCAGTTTTAATTTCTAATACAGGCCGGATTATACAGGATATAGTAGATATAATCCATATAAACAAAAGTCCTTTGGGATCCTCCAAAATTTTTGAGTGTCCAAGTTTGAGAACAATGCATTAAACCAACCTAGAATTGATACTTGAAGTTGTCTTGGCATTCCGCAGCTGATTTGCAGAAGGGAAGAACAGAATTCTTCCCCAGGCCTTGACTGCTGTGTCATTACTGAGTCCCCTGCCCAGACACACTGACTGGATTCTAAACAACCGACAGTAGGGTCGAGCTCCCTTGGATCTTCCCACCTTCCCTCCTATAGCAGCAGGGTAGGAGCTCCACAAATAAGCGTTAACTTAAAAAAAAAGTGTTAACTTAAGAAGAGCACTGTCCACTAGCAGTTTCAAAAGTACTAAGCCCCAGGCAGCATGTTTTAGAGAAGGGACGAATAGATGGACATTGGGAGGGGTGGCCAGCACAGTAGTGCTAGCGGAACAGAAGGGAAACAAAAGAACCTTTAAAAAACAACAACAACAAATGACAATTCTGCTTAAAGGAAGATCCTTGGCATATTAAGCAAGTATGTACAGATACGCAAATGACACAGAGGCGAAATGGGGGCTTGCATATGGCCGGAGTACCATCAATTCTGTCACTCCAGTACTTACTGTGGGAGAATCTGGGACTCCTGCTTGCAGGGTTCCAATCCCACTGCTAGTTCCCATAGCATGGAGAGCCCCAAAGATGGAATCTGGCCCCTGGGGCTGCAGATGCCAGGGCCCTGTCTCTTGGTGCCTTAGTAAATCACTACCGGGGCTGCCCCTGTCTTGTGCTCCTGGGCCTCCGGCCCCTGGCCTAGAAACTGCAGGATTTGTGGAAGCACCTAGGATAGGATCTGAACGCTCAAGAGCACCCCCATTTCAAGGAGCAAGAGACCCTTTTCACGGGGAGACCTGAAACTCCTCACAGCCTCACAGCCACTCCACTACTGGTTAGAACACTGCTGTGAAGCCAGGCATTTAAGGAAAGTTCTCAGCTAGTTAGGGGGTTCCTGGCAGCCTTCTGGGTTCTGGCTCCCAGTGGAGGTATGTTCTGCCCCAGTCAATCATACCTCCCAGGGTCACTGCAAGGATCAAATGAGTTAATATTTGTAAAGCACTCAGAAATGATAACTATTGGGGCGCCTGGCTGGTGCAGCTGGAAGAGCCTGTGACTCTTGACCTCGGGGTCATGAGTTTGAGCCCCCCGTTGGGTGTAGAGATTACTTAAAAAGATAAATGAAAACATATAAAAAAGAAATGATAAATATTAATAATAATGTTATTATTACCAATCTTATTATTACCAGATGTAGAAAAACAACTCAAAGTCTGCAGTTATCCTAGGAAGATGAGTTAATATCTAAGAATTTAACAATTAGTAAGTACAAGTAGGTGGTGTCAGTCATTTATCGAAGACTATGTGATACAAAAGCTGCTATATCCATGTAATAAACCCCCTTGAGTTGAAAACACTGGATTCAATGTAGACTATCTCCATTTTCATTATAGTTTTTAATTGTGAAACTATAAAGTTGGCTATTTATACAAGATCACAAAGTTTTATTGTCTATATCATGGAATTATAGAATTTTGAAGCTGGAAGGAACCGAAGGGAAATGTGAAAGCAGACAGTTGCTCAAGGTCACACAATTAGTTTGTATCAGACCAGAAGCCAGGACTCACAATTTCTAACTCGCAATGCCACTCGAGCACCATGCATTTAATGTGCATTAACTGAGCTTCTATTATGTGTCAGGTAGTGCCAAGAGCCTTATGTCATAATCTCCTTTAATCTTCAAAACCACACTATCAGGTAAGTTCTCTTTTTTTTTTTTTTTAAGATTTTATTTATTTGACAGAGAGAGACACAGCGAGAGAGGGAACACGTGCAGGGGGAGTGGGAGAGGGAGAAGCGGGCTTCCTGCAGAGCAGGGAGCCCGATGTGGGGCTTGATCCCAGGACCCTGGGATCATGACCTGGGCCGAAGGCAGACGCTTAACGACTGAGCCACCCAGGTGCCCCAGGTAAGTTCTCATTTTACAAATGAGGATTTTGAGCTGAGAAAGATCAAGAAACTCAGTCCTTGGGGCGCCTGGGTGGCTCAGTCGTTAAGCGTCTGCCTTCGGCTCAGGTCATGATCCCAGAGTCCTGGGATCGAGCCCCGCATCGGGCTCCCTGCTCCGCAGGCAAGCCTG